CAGGAATGGAATTACTTGGGATAATTGTACCTTTCCCAGGTTATTGACAAACGAAGGAGGTTTCTGGAGGTGCGACCTTTGCGAAAGCCATCCGTGCCATGCCGGGGCGTGGGGCAGCCCCTTTCGGCAGGATTTTTGGCAGCGGGCGGGCGATGGCTGCTTGCCTTTCCCCCAGTGTGAGCTACAGCCCTCCCTCTGGGGCATCTCAGGTCCTCTGATGAACTCTGCTTCCCCCAAAAGAGGGGAAAAAAGCTTCCCCTGGTGCAGCGAAGCCTCGAGAGGCTCTCGCCTCGTTTCCCAGCCTCGCTGAACCCTCGTTTTCACCCCGCAGTGATGGATGCTGCGTGCTGGGCGGTCGGTTAGGAGACCGGGGTCTGGAGATGGGATTTTGCTGAAACACTGAAGGTCTTGGTTCTTCTTTGCTTTAACAAGCGTTTCTCCTACATGTCCCGTTTGGTAACATGATTTTTAGGGGCTGAGCGCCTGGCGCGGGGTCTCCGGGTGCTTTCGGAACTGGACGATTACCAAAAGGCTTTTTTTTTTTTTCCCCTCAAAAAAGTAAGGAACCATTTTTGAATCCCTATGGGAGCAGCAGTGTTCCAGAGGAAGAAAGATTTGATAAAATCAAGTATTTGATGTCGAAGTAAACAAACCTGTATTGTTCATCCAGAGCTGGAGTTTTGGCTGCAAACAGGAGGAATCCCGGCAATGCCCCGCGGCGGGCGGCGGGTGCTTGGGAGTCAGCGCCTGTTTCGTAGACCACTTTTGATGGCTGTGTAGGTAATTTAGTGTCCAGTTTGGACCACTTTGGGGCAGGATAATCCCTAATTTTAGCCAATCCATATGTCCTGCATCCCCAGGCGCTCCCACTGGCTTTGCCACCCCAGTGTGGGGCTGGGAAGGAATTTTTTCTTCTCCTTTGGGCTGCAGGGAAGGACGCTTTTAGGTGGATTTAATGAGACACTTATTATCTTTCAGCTCGGGTGTTGAATGGGGCGGTTTAGGGAGCAGGGGTCTTTTCTTAGCCCAAGAATATTTAGAAGAAAGCTGATAAGCCCGGGACACAAATAGCCGAGAGCATCGCTGGCTGTGCAGCTCGTCAAACGTCTCCGCTTTTCACCAGTTTTAGAACAGGGGTCAGAGAGGCTTTGATAAATGGATGTGAAAACTTTACCCTAGCTTCTGCAGATCTCTTTATCCTCCGCTTACAAAGAATTCAAACCCCCGTGCCCCAGATGCCGAGCTCCTCCAGCGTTTCCCCAGGAGCGATGGTTTTGGGGGGTCTCTGCTCCCCCCAGACTCTGTTCGTGTGCTGGCTGCTCGAGCAGAGCCTGTTCATTCCCGATTTGCATTTTGTGAAACTGGAGCCTTGGCTCAAAATGGAGTCGAGAGACAATTCTGCCGCTTGCTTTTTCCAGCCAGCGTTGGAGTTGGAGCCGTGTGGTGTGATTGAAGGAGCTGTGCAGCTTCTGGGTGAGGAGTATCCCGCCGGAGCCGGGCTTTGGGAGCGGAGGGGATGCTCGGATTTTCAGTGGGGCAGTGGCAGCAAAGAACCACGTCTTTTTAACACGCTTTGGGCTGTTCCTGCCGCCTCCTTTTTTTTGCAGGTGCTGCTGGACCACCCCTCTTCCCTTTCTGTCCCAGGGACTTACTGCACGAGGTATAACGAGCCTGAAAGAGTTATTAGTGTGTCTGAATCCTCCCTTGTTCTTTTTCTGCAGCTGGTCTGCAGGTGCTGCTGGTATAACGAGCCTGAAGGAGTTATTAGTGTGTCTGATTCCTCCCTTGTTCTTTTTCTGCAGCTGGTCAGCGAGAAGGTTGGAGGGGCTGAAGGGACCAAGCTAGACGATGACTTCAAGGAAATGGAAAAGGTAAGGAGCAAGAGAAATCTCTGAAATCATCAATATAACTCCTCCAAGCCTTGCCAAAGCCTTGAGCTGACCTTCCCTGCTGCTGGCTCATCTTGTTTTTCCCCCAGAAAGTGGACCTGACCAGCAAGGCAGTCACAGAGGTGTTGACCAGAACAATCGAGTACCTCCAGCCGAACCCAGGTGAGTGCCCGGCCCCCTCCTCTCCCCTTCCCTCTGCCCCCCAGTTTTACAGGGAAAGGGGCAGAGAGAGCAGAGACATTAGAAATAATATTTTTGGCCCTGAGATATCGGTCACCAGCCCATGCTGGAGATCAGGCCGCTCCGGTGAAGATCCGGATGCTCCTCTTACCCATGTTCCTGGGCTGGGAGATGCTGCTGGTGCTGTTGAACAGTGAAAAACAGCTGCATCTTCCAGCCTGGACCTGGAGAGGCCCTGAAGGGACCCATTTTTCATGGCATGTCCAGAAAAAGTGACATCTCTGGGCTGGGAAGAGGTGGCTGGCTTTGTGGCATCGCCTCCGGAGCCTGCTGTCCTGCGTGCTTCCAGGCAGCTCGTGCAGAGAGCCCTCCAGGGACGACGGGAGGGCTGGGGAAACTCCTCTGGCCTTCACTGGCGAGCTGCGGGGAACTGTTTTTGCTTGCTGTCTTGGAAAAGAAACTTCTCTTTTTGGAGGGAATGATATTTCTGGTAGATGAAGACAATAGAGCTTCTTGGCTTTGGGTGTAGCTTTAACAAAAAAAAAAAAAAAGAAAAAAAAAAAGTTGGCAGCGGCCAGCAGCTGCTGGCAAGTCCGAAATAATTGCAAACCCGGCTGTGGCTGTTTGTGTGCCAGCTTCCAGAGCCAAGCTAACCATGCTGAACACCATGTCGAAGATCCGCGGGCAGGTGAAGAGCCCCGGCTACCCGCAGTCGGAAGGGCTGCTGGGGGAGTGCATGATCCGCTACGGCAAGGAGCTGGGCGATGACTCCAACTTCGGTGAGTGTCCCGTGGGGCCGGCTCCCTCCCCCCAGGAGCGTGCGGAGGAGATGGAGAAGGCTGCCGACTCCAACTTCGGTGAGTGTGTGTCCCGTGGGGCCGGCTCCCCCCCCCGGGAGCGTGCGGAGGAGATGGAGAAGGCTGCTGCCTAATTTCCAAGCTGTTACTCTGAATTTTGGAAGGGCTGCGTGACCCTTTTGTGTCACCTAACAGTTCTGGGGGATCTTAAAAAAGGTTTGAAGGTTTCCACGCAGGGCAGCAGGGAAGGGATGAGCGCAGCCCGAGTGTCCTGGATCCCAGTCCGTGGCGTTATGTGCAAAAAAAAAGTGTTCAGCTTTCTTATTAAACACCGAGATAAATTTGCACATAAGGAAAAACCTCTTCCTTGCTTCTAAACTGAACAACAATGATGTGGAAACTCGACTGAGCGAGATTTGGAGTTTCACGGTGCAGTTCCCAGCCAGAGCTCTGCTCTAGAGAGGCTGTAGCCAAGAAATCCTTTTGCGTGGCCGTTCCTCATCACCACGTGGGACTCGCTGGGAGGAGGGGGGCGAAGCCGTTCGGTGACATCAATTTGAATCGGCTAAAACATCAGCCCACGCACGTGACGGACCTGGTACAGCGCACAGCTGTCCGGCAGCTTCCAGCGCAAGGAGGAGCCGCCTTGGCTCAGGAGGATGAAAAAGCTCGGGCTGCTTGGTGGGAGGGATGGAGGAGAGCGGCTCTGGCCAGCTCAGAGCCCTGCGTCTCTCTTGACTTGCAGGAACCGGAGAGCAAAAGGGGAAGGAAGTTTTTAGAAGAACACACCAAACCTGATTTCCTTTAATAACCTCTCTTTAAAGGAGCACTTAACTTGAGAAATTCCTGTGTTAGGACTGTATCCCTCCCTAGGACAGGTTATCTGGAGTTATCGCTGTTGAAATAACTCTTCTCGTATATTGATTTTTCCAGCTGGGCAGTGGAGTGGTGTTTTCGCTTTATCCTCTTGTATATTCTCCTGTGCTAATGTGGTGCTGAAACGGTTTGTTTGCCAAGGCTGCGCAGGAATAATTTAATCTAGAAATGGTTTCCGCTGGAAGAAAAAGCCAAGACTAAAAATGGTTTGCTGCAAGCCCGTCTGGCTTAGCTGTCGTTGTGGCAGGAGCCTTAGAAAAGCGTGAAAAGAAATAGATTTCAATGAGCAGCGCTGAGCTCTCTGGCTCAGAGCGGAGGAGAAGGGATAAGGTTGGCCGGGTAGAGGTCAGTGTCTAACATGAATAAAAGGCGGCGGGTTCGCTGCCAGCATCTGGGGAAACTTGAAAAGTTGGTCAGAGCACTCTGGGCTTAAAATCGTCTGAACCAAAGGATGGATGGCCAGGCTGGATCCGCCCGAGCGCGCCCCGGCCCCGGGCTGCTCTTGCCAGCGGCGGCCAAGGAGCAGAGCAAGGTGAAAGTTCTGCCCGGCCAGTTAGCAGCTCAGCGACTCCCCCAGCTACCAGGGAGTTTAAAAATACTGCTTTTAAAAATATTTTTTATCTTTTCCTTCCTCTGTGTAGTCGGTAGAGATTGTTCCTGTTTTTCAGAGATAAAAACCGAAGCGTGTTAGCGAAGCGTCTTGTGCAGAGTCAGAACCAACAGGCTATCGCCTGCTTTCCCACCGGCACCGCTCGCTCCGTGCCACGCTCCGAGATTTGCTCCGGATGGAAATGTCGGGGGGGTTGGACGGGTGCTGGGGCTTGCTCACGCTGGGTGTCTTGGCTCTGCATGCAGCCGCCACGGAGCTCGGCGCTGGTTAACTGGCTGGCCCCTCTCCCTTCCCCCTTTCTCCTCCCATCCTTTTCTCACCGAAGGAGATGCGCTTCTCGATGCCGGCGAATCTATGAAGCGGTTGGCCGAAGTGAAGGACTCGCTGGATATTGAAGTCAAACAAAATTTTATTGATCCCCTCCAGAACCTGTGTGACAAAGATCTGAAAGAGATCCAGGTAAACACCTCCGTGTTTTCCTCTCCCCTCTCATCTCTTTAGTTTCTGGCCTCTCCTGGCTATCAGTGCATGGAACCGCTGCTCTGTCGTGGTGGGAAACCGCCGACTCGCCTCGGGATCGGGTCTGTTCCCTGCACCGCGTGTGCTTTCCCTCCCCACGTTCACTGGTGTTTCCTCCCCGCTCCTGAGCAGCTGGACGCAGGTTTGGATGGTTCTTCGCTGGCCATGTTTTATGGAGGATGCCGTGGGAGTACGTCCCAACACGTGTTCTGGGCTCGCAGAATTTGGTTTTTGTGCTGTGAGCTCCCAGCTGTGTCACCTTTGGGCTCCCTGACGTTAAACTTGTTCTTTCCAGCTGTTGGCTCTATTCTGTTAGTAACCTGGATCCTACAACAGAATTTTCAAGCTATGAGCAAGCTTCCCTCGAGGTCTCTTGGGCAGCGTCTCACAAGGCCGTTTGGTGTCTTGCTGGGCAGACGGGGAGCTCGGTGGCTCCTTGTGTGCTGCCACAGGGACAAGTCCGTGCAGAACGCGGCCAGGCTTTGTAACAGGACCCATCCCAACCCCTAATTCAGGAGTCTTGCAGCTCTCTTGAGCCTTGCAGCGCTCCAGCACGTCCCGGAGCCTCTCCGGAGTCTGAACAAAGGTGGGAGCCGCAGAAGCGTGTGCTCTGAGATCAGGTTTCTGAATCGAATGAACTCGGTGTGTAACCAGAGCTGCTGCCCCAGCAGGAGAGCTTGGCTGCTCCCACTCTCTGACTTTTCCTTCTTTTCCTCTTCCCAGCACCATCTCAAGAAGCTGGAAGGCAGACGCTTGGACTTTGACTACAAGAAGAAGCGCCAGGGCAAAATCCCCGATGAGGAACTTCGACAGGCCATGGAGAAATTTGAAGAGTCCAAGGAAGTCGCAGAGACCAGCATGCACAACCTCCTAGAAACCGATGTGAGTGCACGGGGGAACCGCCGGCTCCTCCGCCCCGGGCGAGAGCTGCCGGGTGGGTTGCGTGTTTCCGTGCCCACGAGGGTGGGATCTCTCGAGGGACACAGCAGTTAGACACTAATTTCCACTCTGGTTTTTGCAAGCGTGGTTTTGCTCTCTGAAATCCAGATCCGGGTGCCCATGGCTTGGCTCTTTATCCTTCCTGTGGCCCCTCTTCTCGATCCAGCCCTGGGCAGAGGAGAGGCTGTGGCTTGGACCAGAACAGGTCCCTTCCCAGCGTGCTGGTGGGAGGGAGTTTGGGCAGGGAACGCAGCTTACACACGAAGGAATTGAACAGCTAGCAAAGCCCAGAGAGCAGCAGGAGGTGTCCTCTGTCCTCCTGAGTCTTGGCCAGTGCCTCTGCTCTCTGCAATCCCAAACCTTCTCCCCATCTCCCCGGGAAGTCACCCTGTGTACACATTCCCCAGTATGGACCTCGTGTACGAGGAGGGAGTCTCCTGTCAGCTGGGGAGAGCCGTTCATCCCCCCCTTGGTGTGATTCTGGCAGATCGAGCAGGTGAGCCAGCTCTCCGCTTTGGTGGATGCCCAGCTGGACTACCACCGGCAGGCTGTGCAGATCCTGGATGAGCTCGCCGAAAAGCTCAAGCGCAGGTGAGTCCCGGGGTGCTGCGGGCACTCTCCATTTTCCCAGCCGCAAGCTCTCCCTCTGCTAATGTCTGTAAATATCCGACCCCCCCCTTTAAAGCTATCTCCTGGTGTTAAAACCGCTTCTTGCGATCGCTCGAGCGTCAATCCAGACCTCCTCCAGGCTGGGGGGAGCAATGCAACCCGCTGTCCACGTCAGGCATGTTCTGACATCGGAAACAAAACCACTGCGTGCGCCACGGACAGCTGGTCTCTGCGGGGCTGAGCCCTGCCCGAATCGGGCTGTGCTGCTCCCGGGGAGGCTGGAGTTAAATTTGGGAGGGGTGGAGAAGGGTGGGAGCCCCTTTGTGCCTGGGCTCACGGCTCCTCAAACCGTGGGCGTTGGGTGTGGGAGTGTCCCCCACGAAGTGGCTTTTGGCCGGAGCCAGGATCGGGTCAGACGTTGCATCATGCTGTTGGAGCAGATGGCTCAGATGTCACAAGCTGGACGTGCCTGTCACCCTGTGTCACCTGGAGCTGCCCAGCCTAGAGTCTTTGTGCCATTGGCCTCAGTTGTGGTTAAGGGGGGGACCCGCACTTTACCATGGTCATGGCCCAAAAAGTTCCATGTCCGGGGCTCCCAGTTGTTCCAGACGTGGTGGGGATGACATGGTGGCCGCAGACCAGTGGCAGAGCACCTTCACCACCTCCTCAGAGGCAGGCATCTCCCCCACAACCCTCATTTTCCACCGAGCCCTGCCTGCGTGAGCACCCGACCTCCGCAGCAGCCCCAGGGAACGTGCGGTTGCCGCTGAGGTGCCAAGAAACACAGAGGAGCTGTTGAAATCCCGAGCGAGCTGCTTCGCACGGCTGCTGTGACTTGCACGGTCGTTCTTCCTGCTGCTCCGGCTCACCCGAGCCAGCATGTCCCCAAACGCTGGCCGAGGAAGGAGAGGTGGCTTCATGGCACCCGGGGCTTCCCCGTGGAGCCGGGGACGTGCCGTCCTCAGCCTGGCACAAGGTGGCTCAGAGCCGGGGCAGCCGCTCCGCTCCTCGGGGCGATTTGGCGATGTTGCTGCTCTTTTCCTCCGAGAAGAAGCTGCTGAGTGGGTGCTGTGTCTGGTTTGAATTCCGAAGAGCTGGGAGGATCCTGCGGTGTGTGAGCTTTCGAGCTGCAGCACGAGTGTCCTCTGCTGGCCTGAGCTGCCTGGGACTCTGCCGTAGCCAAGCCTGGGGCCAGGTCCCAAACCCTGGGCAAGATCCATTTTCACACCGCCCCAGCACAGAGGGTTGTGCAGGTTCTGGTCTACAAACCGCTCTGCTCCCCTGTGTAGCCACTGAGGAGAATAAATATCACGATCTCATCATATTCTATTTTATATTTCAATTTATCCACATTTCTTTTCCTTCTTGCAGAATGAGGGAGGCGTCCTCGCGTCCCAGGCGGGAATACAAGCCCAAACCCCGGGAGACGTACGACTTCGACAGCGACCAATCTAACGGGGGGTTCTCCTGCAATCCTCCCCCCAAAGTCTCAGGTAAAGTCTGTGCACACACCCAGGTGCCGCTGGAGCAGCCTCCGGGGACAGAAGGGAACCAGTCTGCCTGGAAATGGTGTTACTGGTGTGCTGGATGTACCTGTGTGAGCTCTGGAAAATGTCACAAGTGCCTCTAGACTCAGGCTGGTTTCTCTTGGTGCCCAGTAGCCTGTGTTATATCGGCTTTGGGGACATCCCAGCAGGGTCCCCAGCCCGGTCCACTGGCCTGTGGTGCCCAGTCAGTGCCCAGCAGTGGCAGACAGGAAAAATTCAGCATCTCTTGCTCCCTCCCCGCCTTCCATCACGCTGCATCCGTCCCTCCCCGGTCCTGGCGAAGCAGGCGGGTTCCTAACACCGCACGTGTGCCGCCCCGTTTCTCCTAACGGATCCTCCCTTTGGCCCCCGCCTTTCCCTCTCTCCAGTTCCCGTTGTTTTAAGCATGTCTCTTTTTTTTTTTGTTTGGAAGCAGCTTACTCCTCTTTCCGATCCGACAAGCCGTCCCGATCCTCCGTCAGGAGTATCCGTGAGTTTCCTCCCTCCGCACAGCATGGTGTGTGACCATCTCCTCCCCATCCCCTCCTCGCTTTTCCTTCCGTCACGCTGCCGCTTGGAGCCGCTGATACCTCCGTGCTGAGCCTGGCCGGCAGAGCAGCTGAACTAAGCTGAGCTTAAGCCTCCTGCTAAGCCCCAAATTAAAACCAGCCACGATTGATTGGTATCGACCACCCGAAAGCTGCGGCCTTTGCTCACCCGGAGGAGCTGCAGCTGCTATCGCAGGGAGGCTGCAGGGATCAGATGCTTTTCCACAAAGTATCAGAAATCTTGAGGATTTCCCCATTCTCCTTACGAGCACCCAGCCCGGAGCTCTCCCGCTCCTGCTTGTATAGCTGGGGGGAGCGGGTAGAGCCTGGGCACACTGAGCGGGTTTTGTGCTCCCAGCTGGGCAGTGAGGAGCCTCGAGTGGGTTGTGGGGTGACGTGGGGTCCCGTTGGGATCCCATCTGTGTTCCCACGGCCAGGCTGGGTCGGTGGCTCGGAGGTTTTGCATTGGGCAGGAGGACTCGGGGAGCCTGGTGCCGGGGAAGCGCTGCGGTGGCGGGAGCAGCCGGAGCTTTGGGAAATCGTCGCAAAACCAGGAATCTGCTTGGTGCCGCTTTTGGGGTTTTCTGAGTTTTCCTCTAATGCTGGGGCCTTTCTCGCTGTGGGTGCTGAGCGGCCCCAGTGTGCCGGCTGCCGTTCGTGCCGTTGGCAGAGCTCTGACACAGAGCCACAGGGCAGCGGGGAGGGGGGAACGGGGCCGTGCAGCCCCCCGTGGATCAGCTCGGTCCCTTTTCAGCGGGACCCTGCAGCCTGCCCATCCCAAAATGTGGACAGAGCAGCAGCTTCCCCTGCTGTAAAAACATCCCCTTCCCTGTCCAAAGCTCTGCTGCTCAAACCGTGGAGCTGAGAAGTGGGAAAGAGACGAGAGACTTTGGTTTTCTCTCTATTTTTTTGGACGGTCTCCCATCCATCACCGCGCTGCCGATTGATTTGAAGCCCTGGGAGGCAGCAGTGGTCCTCTCTCTCCCATCACCCTTGGGGTGACGTCTGCAGGGACCCCCAGGGTCTGTCCTGATGTCTGACCCCGTTGGTGACCAACTGATGAGCTGCAGGGCAGCTTCTCCCTTCTCCGGAGGAATAACGCGGATTTTCTGAGCTGATTTCAGAGTCTGGTTTAGAGCAGGGGAAGCCCAGCAGCGGGGAGGATGCGCTGGGATGGAGGATGTGGTCGCAGGAGGATGGCAGAGGAACCAGGGAGGAGTTTAAACTGAATTAATGCTTTATTCTGGTGGGGGCAAAGCAAAGGGCCCCCTTCTCCCAGACAGGGTTGAGAAACCGCTCGCACA